AGTAATTATTCAATAAGTCGATTCTAATCTATATTTCACTACTGTACTTCTGTCTGCACTTCACTGCTATCTTTTCGACAGATGGTATCTTCTGACAAGTAGGTCAGTATTTACATTAAAAAATTACGGTTATATTCATTGTTATTCTCTCTAAGAATTTAATTTGCATACATGTACATTTGGCAACGCTCTCTTATTTTAAGCAAAATCAATTTTTTTTTCAAATTAACAACTGAAATCTATTTTAGTTGGGGACCATATTACCAACTCTGTTTCTCTTCAACTCATTATTGCCATATTTTTATAAATAACGCCATAAATTATGAAATAAATATTTCATAACTTTCAGCCTAGAATCGATTGAACATGTTAACGAATATAATCGTTCAGTTCTCAATTAAAAATGTTGATTATTGACCAAGTTATTGTAAAAAAATATAAATGAAAGATCATAATACCATCTTTTCCTCTACAAGTGTGTGAAAATGTGTATATACGCATTCCTGTGCCCTATAAACAGATAAATTAAATGCTATAATGTATATCGGCGTTTTTCGCTCATAATTTACATATCTCGTTCCATATGTTAGACCTTCACTAGTTGCGTAAACGAAAACTGGAAGAGGGTAAAGAGAAAGAGTCGCAGGCGACGTTAAATACTCGCTGGAAAATCAGTACCGTAAGCGTTCCACTTCTCTCTCTCTCTCTCTCTCTCTTTCTCTTTCTTTCTTTCTTTCTCTTCGCCCCCTCTCTCTTAAAAGAAAACCGCTCCGGAATTCACGTCTTGGAATGCACGACGACGACGACGACGACGACGAGACCCCCGCTTAGCGCGAACGCAACTTGTCCACCTAACCGATTTCCCCACCGCGGGACGTTGATTTTTCCTTGACATCCGTGCAACCATAATTCAATATCGCTTGCGTATTATCGATAATCATTCAGCAATTGCAGTTAGTAATTATAAATATTCCCCAATTTACCAATATGTCTCTATATCATCAATAATTTAACAATTAAATCCTATAATTTATTAATTACCGCGTATTATTCGCGAAAATTGTCATCCAATATCGCAGATATCGCGAAAGGAATATTTTATAATCGGAGTATTAGTTCTTCACCCTCCTCCCCCCACCCTCCTAAGCTTTCTAGTCGACGGAAACTCGAAGGAAACGTCCCAAGCTGTTTCCGAATCGCGCTCGAATTTGCTCGCGCAAGGCGCACAATGTATCGCACATCGCGATTGAAATCGTTCGGCCGGAAAGGGTTAATCTCCGGGGAGGGATGCCCGAGTCGAGGTGAATTTTCTGCTCCCTATTACTCCGAGCAAAGAGAGAGAGAGAGAGAGAGAGAGAGATCCGACCAGACATCGACTTGACGTCGCCATCGTAATCCTGTCCACGCTATTTCCCCCACAACCAGCTTCGCACCTCTCTCTCTCTCTCTCTCTCGCCTCTTCCCCGAGATCTCTCCTCATCGACCGATACTCCGCACGAACGCGCGTTTCCCCTGCCCCGTGGCCTCCCCCGTCCACCTCCACGACGCGGGCGTAGCTACACCGCGGTGAGCTATTGTAGACATGATCAACACTTTGCGCTTACGAGAAACGACGAAGTTGTCGCACGGATAACAGGATACTTCCGTCGCGCCGAAGAGGACGAGATTATTCCGTTATATATTTCCGCGCGATCGAAAGTCGAAGGTGACGGCCGGGATATTGACGGTACCGCCGATACCGAGATTCCGCGTAGACAAATGCCACCGTCGCATAGCCAAGTCGCTACATCGCCGTCGTCGTCGGCGCGAACGGGATTTCCGAAGTCCCCCGCTTGTGCGTGTCGCTTGAGCGAAACGTGCCTCCGTCTCGCATTGACGGACATGCGGGCCGTGCTCCGTTTTCTCGACGAACGACGCTACGGAGGATAAACGCCGCGGCGAAGAAGATACGCACACCGGGTGTACGCGAGAGCCGCGACCTTCCGATCCGCGATGTGCGATTTTTTTCGATATCATTATCAGCAAACGAAATGACACGAGCGCAGCACGACTGTTGCGACAGCGCGTCGCCTTGATCCGCCGTTTCCGCGTCGAACGATGCGGGTTAAACGTCATCGTACGAATTGATACGGCGAAGCTCAGATCGATTGTGTACTTAAACGACCGCTCCTCCCCTCCCCCCCTTTCTCGGCGATTACAGGCCATCGATGGATTATTATCGTCGCGCGACGGCTGATCGCGAAATTTCCACGAACTTTTAAACGGTTAATCCGCGCATTGGAAAAAGGATTTGGTAACAAGATTTGGTGGATATTTGCCGGCCAAGTATTTGATTACTGCAATAAAATAATTTGATTCCATGTACTGTATATGCGATACCGTAGTTCCGTGTATTTAATATATTTAGTACACGGAACTAAATTGTTTGGTTGCGGTAATTAAATACCTGGTCGACGAATATTCGTCAAAGGACTTCAGCGGAATCCTTGTGGAAAATGGTTTTCGGCTAAATTTTCGGAAACTGCGCTATATGACGGTTTTTGGTGTTTACATGAAAAGTGTCAATGGGCGCGAAGTCGGAAAAATGATAGTTTTTGAGTTACAGCCGCACGAAATTGGCGTTTCTGTGCATTCGGCAGCACACTGAAGAAATAGTTTTGACTGAAACTTACAGTAACCAAATCATTCAGTTGCATGGTATGTGTAACTAAATTATTGGATTAGTATGACTAAATGATTGAGTCACGTGCACACCGTGCACCGTGAATGATTTGGTTACTGTAACGCATTAAGAACCATCATATAGCCACAGTTTCAGAGAGAATTTAGCCGCGAAAGCCGTTTTCCGTAAAAGGATTCCGCGGGGTCCTTTTTTCACGCTTATTAATCCTTTTTTCCGCGCGCGTTTCCATGGACGGCTCTCGGTGTAATTCTCGGTTCCGTCGGAAACGCCGTGCCGTCTAGAAAGTAACGCTCCACATCGACGACCTTGTTCCTAGGATCTACATGTGCCGCGATCGGCCCCAGCTCGACGGCGTATCCGCGACGATCGGCCACTTTCGGGTTTCCGAGATAACCGCGCCGACGGCCAGTCGCAGCTGTCAGCTGTCGACGAGGCCGCCGTCCGGAGGTGTTCCTTTCGACACGGCCCAGAAGAACGTGTATGTGTGCGCGCAGGAATTAATATCGCTACAATGTCGACGTGGTTTGCGCGGAATTTAGACGAGCGAAGAAACTGACCGGTCAGTCCCGGTCTGCAATAGGTGTTTTAAGCCTCAAGAAATTGACCAATCACGGTCGAGTGTGAGGAGAACAATCGACTGCGATCGCTCAATTTCTCAAGGCTTAAAACACACTATCGCAGACCGGGATTCACTTGTGTTCGTGTGCGAATTTCACTCGCCGCGATTTCGGTATCTCCGACAATTTCGGTTGCGGATGTTTAGAAAAAAAAAAAAAACACGATTTTTCTACGTTCATTCGCGAAGAGACAAGCGCGCGGAGAAACGTGCGGATCGCGCAAAAGCTCCGTCCTCGCGGATCGAAAGCGGACGTGTGATCGTCTGCGAGCTGAGCTTCCGATGGCACCCGAGGAAGAGCGTCGCGACGGTGATCACCTTTCGCGTGCCACTGGCACCGAAATCCCGTATTCAGGGAAATTATTACGCCGCTCTCGATCCTCGCCGCGACACGATACGCGAAACCGAATACCGTTCCTCCTGTTGGAAATACCTCTCTCTCTCTCTCTCTCTCTTTCCCTCTCCTCGCACGCGCCGCCTCCCCTTTGAACGATCGCGCTTGATATCGCCGTATCGATCGATGACACCCGGGATGACAGTCGCACGTGGTAAGGTAAAGTCCTCCAGGTTGCACGTGTGCACTCGCGTTCGTCACGATAACGGCACGGCCGATGTGCGCGCGCACTCCCCCGTGAGAGAGAGAGAGCGTGTGAGTACGAGCGCGTTGTACGCGCGTTACGTGTGTGCGTTGCGCGGGTGTGTGGGTGAGCGAGGACGCCGTAAAAACAACCGTGATAAGACGGCGCGTGCACAGTCGCGGCTGGACTGATCGTGGGGGTCGAGCCACAGGTGTCATCAGACGTGGTGAGCGCGCTCCCCTTTCCCTGCGCGAGCGATGCCGCCCCGCTCGGCACCGCCACGTCCCCACCATATCAGTGTATCTGTCTCTCTTTCTCTCGCGCGGCGTAACACGTACAGATTGGCGAAGGCGGTTTTGTCGCGTTCTCGCCGCCGAGGACACGCGCGCGCGTGCGTAAGTGCGAAACTGGGGATGACTGTCGGCTATCCCCCCGACTGCCCGAAAGTATCGATACGTCTTCCGCGAGACGGATACGTAGTGCCGTAGGAACGAGAGTGTGAGGGAAAAGTTGCGACGCGATGCAGATGGATTTGCATTGCCTCGGTGTGGACACACGGTAAGAAATTTTCGGTTAAATTTGACTTATTTTACGTGTCCCGTGAGATGGCTCGATCAGATTTTCGTGTTAATTTTCTACAAGGTGAGTGTGTTGAAAAAGTAACACAAATATTGTCAAAAATTAACACAGAATTAATACGTTAAGTGTGTTATTTCACAATGTACACACGTTGAATATCGACGCACCAAATGTTGAGATAACATAAACACAATATGTTATAAATTAACACACGAATATATGTGAAAAATTTAACACAAAACTTTTAACACGAGTACAAAATGCTTTTTATTGTATACAAAAGGAGACGATGAGGTAAAATGTCGCTAATATTCCAAAATTAATATTTTATTTAAGATACAATGCCCTTCTTCCATAATATATCTATATGCGATTGTAGTCCGTATAGTACATATAAAGTTAAAGCATAGAAGTTTACGTAAGTCTAAGTAAGTCTAAAACATTACGTGGGTGACGGTGTAATTACAGAAATGCATGGGAACAATAACACGCGGCTTTAGAAAGGAGACAGAGAAAGAGCGGAAGAAAAAGAGATATCCCTTCGTAATTCAAATAGATATTTATTCAAAAAACCATGTGTATTCGTGACAAAAACATATAACGCCTGTTATTGACGTAACGCACATGACGTACACTCTCATTCATTCGCTCGCACTTTCACACTAATTTCTCCCACTTGTTATTAATTATAATCTGCTTCTCTCTTCTCTCCGTTTTAGTAAACTTAACATTTACTAATTATATGCATATTTCCTTCTTCTTCAATGTCTGTTGTAAGATTATTTAATATTTGTTTTCTCCTTCTATCTTCGCCCATGTTTGGATTCGCAACTCGTACGCATACAATGTACCATTGTGTAATGTAATTATTATTTAACTGTTGATTGTGTACGTCTAATTACATGTTTTCGTATGTGATATGGCGCCATGCCACTTTTATTTCGGCTATACGTTACGCAATTTCCCACACGCTTACAAATTCGAGACCTCGTCGAGCGAACAGCACGATTTTCCATCTGACTTCGTGAAAAATATCTCTTTATCACGGTCAAACATCCAGATAAATTAGATAGATTCGGTGCATGTAGCCTTCTTCGTACGGTAAATTCTCATGCACCTTGCATCGCGACGCCATTTGCGTTGCTTCATCCGCGACAGGACTTTGCTTCGCTCTCGCGTTTACGATATATCGACAGATACATCCCTCCTTCTTCCCAAGACACTACAATTCACGCAAAACAACTGGACATAAAATCAACTCTTTTTCTTTTTTATCTACAAGTGAAAAAAATGATTTACAGATTAACAACAATTTAGAAGAAAGTCCCACGCGTCTGCTACGATTGCGGACAAACCCATCTGCAAAATACACCCCGCAATTCATTAAACTCTGAAAATTCAATGTCTACGCAATATCTCTTCGAGGAGAATTCGCTTAAAAACAACAAACAACGATCGGGAAGTTTATTTCAAGCGCGACGATGATGACACCGCGTCGTTCTCTCTGTGAAATTTCGGCCGGCGAAGGCCGACAATAATGCCTTCCATTCGAGGATCGTCGACGCGACGATCCTCCGACATTCTCCCCGACGCGTCGAACAGGAAAACTCGTGTGCTTTACTCGACCGCGGGTCTCCTCCGCAAAAGCCAACCCTTCAGCGGCTCTCCGGTCGCTCTCGACTTCGTGTCGCGTATCACCCGCGAGACTCGCACGACCATCATGGGAAAACGGAAACCGAAGCGCCCCCTCCGCTTCGTTTCCCTCGCCCGCTGAGGATCCTTCTTCGCGGCGAAGATCGTACAGCCGTGGCTTATATGAGAGAGCGCGCGCGCCCACCCCCGTGGTTAACCGTCTCGAGAACTGTCTCGTCGAAGTCGATGTCAAACACGCAACGCCTCCTCTTACGGAAACTGATTACCGTGTACTAACCAAATTACACTTATCATCCCAGAAGAAAGTGATCCGCGAGAATTAAACGTTCAGGTGGCAAATGATATTTCATTCGCTTTCGATTCACGACCTCGAGCCTCTTTTCTTTCCGAACGAATAGTCTGTAATCAAATGTAACGGATATCGTATCATAAGTATATTGTTTCTGCCCTTGCTGTATGTGACAAGATATCAGGTGTTCAAGAGATTATTAACAGTTATATATATATGTATATATATATATAGAATTTTTGTTATTACAAATTATAAATGACTCGTCGGATTCCGAGTATTTCGAAAGCGCAACGTATAATATACCAAACATTTGTTATTTAGTATATTAACTCTTTTATTACATTAAACCTGCGAGAGCAACCCTCTCACAGGTCTCATTTCCCACCTTGCTCCATCGCTAATTGTCCCACGTTACCAGTTGTCCCGTCATACAGCGTTTCGGCAAAACCGAGTCAATTCGACGAACCTATAGACTTTCGCATTTCTCTTCATTTTTGATATTTCACCTTTTACTAGTCTACATTTCGGACAACTCTACGACGATATTTCAATATATATAAGGATTATGCCGCACGGACGAATTCGATGACAGGAATGTACTGTCATGCGCTTTGCCGATGTATCTACAGAAAAAAAAGAGAACCGCCCTTCGCACTCTTCGCTCCTCCTATCCGCTAATGGATTAGAATTATTAGTCGCGAAAAATACAGTCAATTGTTTCTCGTTCGTTGTATGAAGTACCGGAGAAAAAAGGGAAAAGTAGTTGGAAACGAAAGTCAATCAAATGATCTCGGTTGATAGGATGAAAACCGATGGAGAAAAACCGATGATGAAGGTGCTCGTGGAAGGATCAGTTTCTTCGTAGTCACCCAATCGCTTCGATCGGACAATATTTCTAACGTATTGCCGGGGTTGCTTTGCCCGTGCCCGAATAAAACTTTATGATTGCACATAAAGTATACAGTGTGCTTATATATGTGTCCCGGTTTTATCATCATAACGTCGCCGTCGTCAAGTCAATCGCAGTCACTAAGGTGGTCTCAAACCGATACGGTGTGTACAAGTGTGTACGCGCGTGTGTGTGTGTATGTATGTGTGTGTTTGTGTGTGTTGTTCAACCGCCGCGGCTTTTAATGCATTCGCTTCCAATTCGGCGTGGAAAAGAAAGCCCTCCGCCGTTCAATCGGTATCGTAAGGCACATATATCTTCGACACGTCCCGAATCTCTCGATACCGAGCCGAAGGCTTGCGTCTCGCGCGATCGAAGTCGAGACGCGACTTTAGAGAGCTCTCGACCGTTAACTGAACTCGACGTTTATTTCTTCCGCTCGGGCGCACGAAGAGAAGCGTTCCTCTTTTTCTTTCTTCTTTTTTTCCTTTTCAGCGAACATACGCTCGGAGAATTAATCGCCGCCGGAAAGAAAAGGGAAAGGAATATTTCCTTATTATCAGAGTTCGACTAATTATCGCCCGTTCACCACTTCAAGATGGGAAACGTCAGAGGGGGTGTGTGTGTGTGTGAAGCTAATGCTGATTTATTTCGCGCGTGTCCGCGCAACAACACTTTTCCATCCGGGCGCGCGACGACCGGACACTCGCATCTGTTCGATTTCATATCCCGTGTGTTCGACACTTCACTTAAAATATTCGCTCTCTGTTTCCCCGTAAGATCTCACGATGTACGCACAAATGTGGCGGCGTATATATTGCTAAGTCGCAACCAAACCGGGTATATCTCGTTAAAGCACGCGTTATGGTTCTCTCTCTCTCTCCGTCTCGGTCTCCTGCAGCGGCGGGAAACAACGCCAGGTATCGCAATAAATATGGTATAGCAGAAGCTCGATGACACCAAGGCATGCTGCGTTAGAACCTGGCCCTGATGTAAACGGCCGAGGCATCGTGTTCACCGTATCCGAGACGCTTGGCATGCTTGTACACTTCGTTGGCGGCGGCGGCCAGCGGTAGAGGCTGCTCCAGTTGGTCGCTCATACCTAAGGAGAGTCTCAGGTCCTTCTGCATATGTTGTAAGGGCAGTTGCGTCGGGAAGCCACCCTCGATTATCGCTGCGAAATAGAATATTAAGGGCGACGTTGATCAAGTATTCTTTAAATGCATTTCAAAGTTAACTATTAGAAGCCGGTTCTTCATCTTTCGGTTAACTAGTGATTTGTGAGGCTTAACCTGATGAAACTATGTTTTTCTATTAAAAGTTACCACTACAAAATTATCAGTTTAAGTTTAAACCACAAGTTAATTAGAAGATGACAAATCGGGGCTGAGTGATCTGATACGCTCTTTCCCTTTGGAAGATTCATCATCAAAATGATTAGAATCAATAATCGTCAGGATTATCATAATTGTTATTATCTCGATGTTACGAGTGATTAATTTACGTTTCTTTCCAGACCGACTGAAATAAACCGCAAACGCGACTGATGAATCGGTCTCTACCTTTGCCTTTGTCGAGAATCGCCGGACACGCTAAAGACGTCAGTTCCAAGACCTCCAAGACATCTTTCTGCTGAAGTCCAGCACGATCCGCTAGTGCCATACTCTCTGCCAGACCGGCCAAGGTCACACCGGCCATGAGTTGCAGGACAAGGTTCATCTTGGAAGCATTGCCGACTTCGCCGAGATAAAAGCTATTCTTGCCCATAGCCTCGAAACAAGACTGACACTCGTCGAATAATGACCGATCTCCAGCAGCGAGGATAACGAGGGTGCCTTCCTGAGCCTGCGTTTTGCTACCTTGCACTTGAGCTTCCAGGTAACGTCCCCCTTTGCCATTAATCGCCTCGGCGATGTCCTGAGACGTCTCCGCGTCTATACCCGTCATCTCGACGTAACTCTTTTCCGATGTTATTTCCGTCAGTACGCCGCAGTTGCCGAATACCATCTGGAAAACGTTTTCAGTTGGAAGCGTCGAAAGGACTCTGGCGTATGAAAAGGATCACGTGTCGGAGGACGGATATTATTCTCGAGAAATTTTAGTAGAATTTCGACAGCTTACGTCTTTGGCGGCTTGTGGATCGGCCACACAGGAGAAAGTGATATCAGCTGCCAGCACGACGTCTGATGGTGTCAGGCCTTGTTCTGCGCCCGCCTTTACGAAATCCGCACACTGCAACGCAAGCATGCAAGGTATGCAAATTAGCTTAATTCTGCTCATGTTTGTCAATTCTATGCTTACGATTGTAACGTACGTTTAATTATCAATCGTGTATACTCGATCGATCGAATAATCGTTCCTTCATTCGTGAGACTTTCTTTCAATCATTTATATTTCGCCATCTGCGATCTGAACTTCAGCGAAAAGCGGGGATCGCGCGAAACGAATATCATTTTATTTTATTTATTTATAACTCATTTAATTTAATTTAATAACGATACACGCTATACACGCGATAAAACGATCTTTGTGTTTATTCGCGTGAATAAAATCAGCAGAAAGCCATCGGAAATTGAACTCAACGAAATTATCGGAGTTCATTCGTTGCGACGAAACAAAAATTATGGCAGCTTCAATAATAACAGCGCTAACAATGTTTATATATATATATATATA